AATAAAGAGGATGAATAACTATCCCATAAATAACTATCCCACATCCACATTTGAATAACACTTACCTACAGGCCCCATTTCTCCTATTCTAATGATATGTGGCCAATGTTGCAGGGTCTTTGCAAAAAATGGATTAGTAACACCCAGTATAACAGGTGGTCTGAAAACAAATATTATAAAATCGTTATGTTGTTGACTGGCTGAAAAAATGTACAGTATTCGCCAGACTAAGTGACCATGCTTAACTAAGCGCCCTCTACATTTCTATTTTCGGGCTCATGTTTGGCCTATGTTTTCGAAAATGCTCCAATGTTTACTGTCTAGTTAAAAACCTGATCTTTGGGCATTGTTTGATTTTTCCCAATACAGATACCGGTAATCAAATTTATATATTACAGCATGGATATCGACTGCCGTGAATATCTTGCCGATTCCAACAGATCGTACTTTGACATTAATAACTCACTTTATATCCATGTGTTATCAGAATGCCATTGGGTCAAAGGATGTTGTTGTAGGTCAAATCATGTGACAAAACATTTGGAAATCGCTTTGCATCATGAGTTTGTGTACAAACAAACACATTCGACAACAAAGATAATGATAAAGATCTTGACTAAGATTGGTTTCCTACAAAGAATTTTTTACAAGATTTCCATCTTTTTTTTTTCCTTAATCTGAAACAAAATTATTTGTGGTAACAGAAACATACTTCTGAATTTTTCAATAATTAAATCATTATGACAATTCTAGTTTCTAGCCCTAACATATAATTCGCATTGAGATTCCATCAGTCCAGGCCTGCTTACTGCAAAAGTACAGATGATCTTGAGGTAATAGGTCAAGTACATTGTACAGATAAACAACTGACCATCAATTACTGATTTTTGGCCATACTGTGTACTGTGACTTAATCCAGTATATCATCTATATCAGTTTTTGGTCTGTTCAGAGATAACAAATATTTAATTCCTTTTAACTGTATATCAATGTAACATATCTCACATAAGGTTTTATTGGTTACTTACGGTGCCTGGGTTTTAGTAGTGTACTCTTTAAACTCGCTATCATGTATAGTAAAATAAGGTCTGTAATCTGATGTGTACTTCAGCGGTGACATCATAAAGACAAGCGCCTGCACTGTGTCTGAGCAAAAGGTGGGTGAAGGAGCCATCACAACAATAGGCTGAAAGATGAAATATATCAGTCATATTGATAACATTAATAGTTGCGTAAGAGCACTGTAATTTGTATTGCACTGTAAGGGGTTGTTGATAAAATCAACTAATTTTGTTTCACATTATGAACATATGATACATACATGATTCAGTGTTTTTCAAAATAAACACATTATGTTTACATACTTCATTGGTGAGTATTAACTCCCATAACAACTGTATATGAGGTAAAACTGGTTGAAAACATTTGAAAACTTCTACTTCATTGACAGATGGTATCACAATTGGTGGAGCACTGCCAGGAGACTGAAAACAAATATTCATAAGATATTGAGCTTATTGTCAGACAATCAATAATCAACCCAAACACAATGGTTCACACAAACCACTAGTACTATAATAATAATAAATCACAGAGAACAATAGATGACAAAGCATGGGCAAGAAATGACAGCCAGGTCTTTCTCTGAACCAACTTGTGAAATGCAAATGTGAAAAGGGATGCATACATTGTAAATACCATGTATTGATCACTATTATCCAAGGAAGGAATATATTCACTATTATAAACTATACATGTAACTATATAAAAACAAAACAGGGGTATTAAAATAACATAACTTACCAATATAGGTTTTATAACTTGTGACTGTGCAGGTTTATCATGTTTTGATGGTATTCTGACTTGTAGCACCACACCCATAATAGGTAAATGTAAAGTTGCTCCTGGAAATGGTGGAGACCATTGATCTATATCATGACATGCTATCATAGAAAGAAAACAAACAAACAATTATCAAAACTAAGCATGAGATAGAATTAGTGTGAAATTATACATGAGCCAGTATCCTACATTGTCATAGTACAATTAATGTACCGCAACACGTTGGCAAGATTTAAATGGAAGTGTTAAGACTTGAGTGTGTACAAATGATCTTAAAAACGAAAAGCACACCAAAACATGCTTTAGGAATGCATTTGTAAATAGTAATAATAACCAAGTTTGAAAAAAGAAACAACTATCGGTAATATCACATTTTGATTAGCAGTACATTACCAAATCATATATATCATATTTAGCCAGTGAGAAAAAAACACACATCAAGGATTATGTAGATAAATATACATGCCGTACATAATATAATTGAGTATGAGATGAAGATATATGAAATAAATAATTATCTTGAATAATGCAATGCCTGTGTTTAGCAACGAAATCATGTGCGTTGGTTTAAATCCCTCAAGCAATTAGTTACACATTATTAATTTGTTAGTCAATGTACTGCTATTTATCATACAGATTTCACAATAATGAGGTCAAGTAATTTGTACATAGTATATCTTCTAGGGAGCGTGCCTAACTGTGTACTATAGTGTTATTTATGTTAACAGATAAATATGTTGCTTATCTACAGTACATTATTTAATCATTATGTAGTATGTAACTCTTCACAGTACAATATATACAGACTGCAAGTTAATAAATAAGAGAGCAGCTGTTAACCTACTCTATTGAGACCTGTTTTTTTATTTTTCAGCCTAACTTTACCACACAATACAATAAATCCTCAAATTTACTGCGAAATTTTATCATCTCAAATTGCTTGCCATTGGGTGATGGATGGGTGAATGGAAATTCAATTTCACTGAAATTAGATTATAATCCCACTTCACACATTTCCAAGAACCCAGAGGGTCTTACCCTTCGTTTCTACTACATCCTTTTATCAATAATGCTGCAGAAGTGCTTAACCAGGATAGTTCTATTTCAGTAATAACAGTGTCTGTAATTTTAAATTTTACATATATATTGTACAATTAATTTGTTCTATAATTGTAGTTTTCAGTAAATTAGTGATTAGTGTCATGGAATTATTTAATTGATACCCTCCATTGTACACAAATAAACAAGCGAATATAGCACTGAAGTGAAAAACTAAATATGGAATGAGATTTGTATTTCACCTTTTATCAAAGTTCAAATTTATGACAGCTATAAAGTGTACTGGCAATAAACAATGTTTTCCCCTGTTTAGTAGAGCTATTGACCTTTATTCAGGGTCATCAGCTAAGAAACTAGAGTAGAAAGCCTTGCTTTCACCATAAAGCAGATATAATTTTTGACAATTATTGAGTTAAGAACCAGGTGAATTCTGTAACAATGAAACAAATTCCTGATAATGGATGCAACAGTTTTCCAGAACTGTACTTCCTTGATCATAAGCCCATGTGCCTTACAACATGTAAAATCGAGGAAAGTAAGGGAAGGGCATGTACCCAAATACCACCTCAGAAAAGAATTTTTTTGTTTAATATTTTAACACGATCAACCTCCTCTAAAAAATTACTAAAATGATAAAATTTTGTTGTGCCAAAAATTATCAAGGTCTGTGGGATATAGTCTAAGTCAAAATTGTAATTATTATCTTTATCATCAACAAACATTTGATGCATGACAACTCTCAGCATGATGTTTTTCTACTCGATTTAACCTCAAACAATGTTCTTTGATTCAAAAGGTCAAGTTTGTTATTGAATTCGCATTATTGCAACATTCCATTCATTATCAATGAAAACAGAAAAAGTGCAAGCCATGTTGAGTTGTTTGCCATACACTGTGAAATTTAAGTTTATCCCTTTAGCAAAAATAAATTCCAAGCGAAAATAAAGTAATTTACAGTAATATAGAAAAATATTGCATGCTTTTATGTCACTGATACTGCATGACACATATAGTGAACATAACATACTGTACAAAAGTGAACAATACTTAAAGTGCAATTGATACTGAAATATTACAACTCACCTGCTTCCAGACATGGCTCCCCATTATCAAAATATTCTGGTGCTATAATATCTATTAAGTGAGTAAATAGATTGATATATGGCAGCTTGGTAATCAGTACCACAGACTAGGAAAAGATAGAAAATTAATTATTGAACAACCTTCTCAATCATGTAAAGACTATAAGATATAGTTTAGATGACTCATCAGGGAAATATAATTACTGTATCTATATTAGAAGCAATGGCTTCTATTAAAATGGTACAATGTAATAGAGTGGATACAGATTCTATTAGAGCATCTATACATATGAGAAATTGAATTTTCGGTTCTCAATTATTCAAAAAGAATAGCTGTTCCTTTAGGGATGCGGCTTTTAATACGGTAGACCAATTTAGAGGATAGCTTTTAAATTCACACCATGTTCTTACTAGAAAAAGTTGAATTCTGCCTGAACGAATGTTATGATACATTTGGTGCTAAAAACTGCAAAGTACATTTCAAGTATTTTTTTCATTTTTGAGCTATTTTTAATTTCTTTAAATTACATAAATGTGTATTTATACACAGAATATAAAGATTATTAAAACGTGAAATTTTCAGTGCAATTTTCCACCAGAACACAAATGGCAATCATCTTACATAATGTTGACAAGAACAGATGTGCTATTATTTCAGGGCATAATAGTTACAGCTGTAACAGGTTGAAGAATTCGACAACCATAATGCAAATTACTAGTAAGATCATTTTATAAATAGCAGACCTGTTTACTTCTAATCAGATTTCAACCACTTACTCAAGTTCATCTCAAATACATGCAAGTGGTGATTGAAACGAGATTATATCATTTGAAATGATGCTTTAGTTATCGGTCCGCTTTGCATATTCACATATCAGTTTTGATGATTTACGCTATCAATTGATTGAGCCAGGTATGGTTTGTTTTTTATTATGCTATTAAATCTTACTTGAGGTTGAGAGGTAATTTAATGAGTAATTTTATGAGTAATGTAGAATAAATTGGCGGAGAATTGTATGTTTTTAACATTATTATTACATTGTTATGAATCATGTGTATAGGCCGTCACACTTGTTTACATTTTTGCCAACCAGCATGCGGATGTTGATGATATGTCGCTCAATAAATGAAAATGAATATTATTCAAACAAAGTTATGTACTAAGAGTTTTCCACAGAAAAATAACATAATCGTGATATAACAATATAATATGTACTGTGGAATACTTTATTTTCGCTGGAATTAATTTTCGCTGAAAAGGCTCTTTGGGTGTTTTGTATGGAATTTATTTTCACTGATTTTTGATGAGTTTAATGTGAAATATAGGAAAAAAAATATATTCACTGGATTTTATTTTCACGGAATCATCCCTTCAGCGAAAATAGCAAAAATAAATTCCAAGCGAAAAGAAAGTATTCTACAGTAAATAACTAATAATATTGTTTCTACACTATAACGCTATTGGGAGAACTAGCACTCATCACAACTATCATTTTATGACAAATAAAACAGGATTTCATTGACATTTATTCATACATTAGTCTTACCTTTTGAAAATAGCCTCTTCGAGAAGATTTATCTCTAACTTGACGAAAATAAACAAAGCCGTGGTAATAGGCATTTTCACCCTAGTGGGAAAACACAAAGGATCAATCAATTCAATTAATAATTTTTCAGATATACGGGGATTGATGTAACAAAATTATTCTATTAGTTGTTCAATAAATTGCCATTTCCCTACACCAAATCCAGAAATGGCCAGAAATTACTACATTAATCCACCTTGATACTACTTTTTATTGATTTTAGTTATGAATTTTGTTTCTAAAATTTTTCTGATATTACATAAATCCAATAATTTTAATGTACAGTACCTGTAATGTGACAGGTCCCCTTCGTTCATATGCATTTCGTGTACTCAATGTTGCAGCTTTTCTGTTGAATGTAGTCGTGTGTTGCCTGATACGATAGTTAAAAAGGGTATCCCCCATACAACCTTCAAAGAAAATAAATCTTCATGTATATCTAATTGATTGCATAAGCATGGAATAAATGGAAATTAAAACGTGAAATTGAAAATATTATTTGTCAGAAAATTCAGTCATTAAAGTCAACAGCAGTGATTCTTTAAAAACATTCAGCATTGAACAGCTCTGTATGTATTTGTTCATGAAAAAACTATAAATAAAAAAAAAATTATGATACTGCAAGCAAGAATTGCTCACCTACAAGAATTTCCTGAGAAACTAAATGATGTACTGAGCAAAAAGAGCAAAGCATAGTATAGGTTCTGAATTAAACTGCTCAAAATATATAAACAAAAGCTTCTGGACTATGAAATGTAAAACCCTTTAATATTATGCAATGTAGCTGCATACCATTTTAATATGGAAATTGTTATTTGCATCAAAGAACTCCATTATAACAATTGATTTTTGTTAAATTGTTTAACTCAAAAAATGTTATGTATATTTATTCCTTATATATTTATACACCTATAGAGTCAGTAATAGTATGTTATACATGTAACATACTGTTACAAGGTGAAGTAGTTATTAGATTTAATTTCAATGAATGTGAAGATACAAGGTTATTTACTTGATTTTAAATTCAATGGATTGTGAATGAAAAAAATACCATTCTACTGTTGAACGAAACGTTCACTGTGTTTTAATTTAGCACATTAAACAATCAATAAAATATGCAAAAATGCAACCAAGCTAATAATTTAATTAAACCCTATACAAAAGTATCATTCTTGGTGGTGTCTAATGTATTAGAACATAGTAACATACACAGGTGAATTATAATAGTAGACATAATTTACAATGAGCTCACCTGAGTTTGAATCAGGAAAAGATAAATAACAAATATTCATTTTCTGAAATTAATAAAAATTTGTATAAATTACAATTTGATAGTAATAGTTAATTCTATTAGAATTTTTTCTTTATAAAATGCTAGTATATCATGTGGCCTTGATATTTCAACCAGCCATGCATGAGACAATATTTCTCAATTGTTATGACCTTGGTATTTATACTCCCACATAGTTTACTCAGGTAATAAAAACATCAACTTTTATATGACTGTGTAATTACAGTTAAGATGGAAATTTTGTTTTGCCAAGTAATATATGTATTTTATTTTTACTCACCTCCTTTTCAGAAAGCTTAACATGGGATGGATACACAAGCTGAGAAAAGAAATACGAGAATAATAATGTGACAAAATTACGAACCACATGTATGTTATTCTTTAATTTTGCAAGAGTTCCTTATTCACAAATTTGGTGACTCAGTGTATTGTTTTACTATCATTATTATTATTATTATGTATTTTCATAGGGCACACCATTGTTTTGTACAGTGTACTGGCTTATAATTTATTTATGAGACAGCCCATGAATAGTAAGTATCAAAACACATACCATATCCGGCAGTTGAATGTGTTTATACGACTATGGTATGTGACCTTCCATGAAAATATAATATTTAAAAATAATAAAACTTACAAACGGGTTATGGAAAAGCGTAAGTAAAAAACATTTTGTTGCAGTCAAAATTATGCTTGTTTTTAATGTTGATTGTCTTTTTTCGAGGTCGAGATGTTGTTTACAACTAATGAGATACAATATATAAGTGACGTCAACGGAGTCCCATTATTTCGGCATCTGAAATCCACATCATAATGTTTTGAAATATATTTTGAATAAAATGTTTGTTTTGTTTTTTGTTGTTTTTTCAGATTAATATTTTACCACATACCGTAACATGATGATGGATAATACAATACTATGGCAACCACAAAAAGACAGCTTGCCGTGTAATGAACAATAGCTCATTGACGGACTGTCATCCAGACTGTCGTCTGTCAGCGCCGTAGTGTCACGATCAAATGATCAACAAATTTGACTATTTGTAACACGATTCATAATAACGTGTCGTAATAAAAAGAACAACAGTCTACACACTTCTCATATCAACGTATACTAACTGGGTCGAGAAGGCATGCTGAATATTATTAGACAAAGCCGACTTCTCTCGCTCGCTAGACTTTAGGTACTTATATAACCATACCTCCATAGCCTGTCCAAGCTCCAAATCGAATGTCACGACACACACACAGTGAAGCCAGTTTGAAAATCTATCCCATGGCAAAATAGTCGGCGAATTCTCGTCATTTTCAAAAGACCGTGTTGATTGAAGTGGCGGCTGCCTCTCCGCCACTGACGCCATTTTAGGAACAGAGAATACTAGTAAACAGGAAGTTGTCTGCCCTCTAAACACTACATAGTAAATCTTTCGTTTTTCGGCTAGGGTTCCATGTTGCTCATCTGTAAGTTTTACTGTCAGTTTCATTATGGTGTTAGGCATATGGACCTGGTTATAGTCTATGTTCATCTGTAACATATACGAGTAATAATAATAATAAGCTTGAGTAAAAACGATGGACGTTGGCGTTTGTATAGAATGTTAGTAATGTGGTCATGTTTTTGTTTTGTTTTCGTAATCAGACGAGCATCTGTATTTTGTAGAGATTGTAGTTTATGTATATTGATATTTGTGGTGTCATAGAGAAGACTGTGTACATCGTCAATTCTTGATGTAACAAAGGCAAGATTGAGTTGTGTCTTGAGTAAGATATTTTCTAAACTGAACTGATATTCCTGATATGAAAATTAGCAGATTTGCAAGTGATGGAACTCGTATGATTTCGTGATGATGTTGATGGGGCTTTAGAACAGTGATTTAACTTTACAGATTGCATATCAAATTCTGTCATATTGCGACGTGACCCGAAAAATAGTGAATAAAATAATCTTATCGGAGTTAAGCCTCAGAAAATTAGTCGTCATATATAAATGAGTGCCCATACAGGTGATATTACGATTCATATCACCAGCTTTAATGAAGTTGTTGTAATTTAGATGTTTAGAAGTGGACCATACAACTGTTTAAAGGGGGCGTACTTCGAGACGTTAATAAGTGTGAGCCAAGTCAAGAATGTAGAACACATACAGAGATCTTTGGTTGGAACATTAGACAGTAGTTTAGATAGAATAACAGGTGTTTTATAAACACTGCTGACACAATTATAAAAAAATCTCATGTTTAATTATGTGCGACGATTTAATAAAGGCGATACTGAGTGGTTTATAATACGCATGCTCATACATATGATCAAATTTCATTCAGAAGCATTGGATATATATATTAACATCAAAGTAAACATACAGCAGTAGCGAGATTTTTCGATGGAATGGAATTGTTCTGATTTTATTATACGAAGTGTACAAATGACAAAATCAGACATTTAACAACTGTTGTAACGTTTGATGAAATAACCGGGTAAATAACATAGATGGGAGTAATTATCAAACATGCATTGCAACGTTTTATGAACGTGGGTGACGTGGCCAACCTCAGGTAGAAAGTACCTCAGAACTAGTGGTGTGTCGCAGCAAAAGTTCTTTGTAGCTACGGGAAAACCTACTAATGAAAATGCATACACAGAAACAATATAAAGATTTTGCGTGAAAAAATAGGGGGTCGCCATACTTCTATGATTTTCAAGAAAATATTCGTTAAAAATACCACCACGTCAGCAACGTTTCTAATATTATTAAAATCTTGGTTTTACACAATAATGCGTTAACATTGCCGATTAATATTCTGAACAAAGAGCTTTTAAATAATTAAATATCAAATATTTCTAACAGTTATTTACAATTTTCTGAAGAACATATACAGGCTTCTTTCCTATATTGTAGATGAAGACACTATTTACTATTTTGGCAGTCCGATGAAAAGGTAACTAGAGGTACCCGAAGCTATTTTTTTTAATTATGAATCCTTAAAAGTTTGGGCATAATCTCTCTTTCTTATTGAACCCTTCGCTCAAAATCATTAGTGGTGCAATTACATTTTCCGCATCTGTACAATTTATCGTGTTCAAATTTAAAAGTTGGACATCTTATCCGTATAAGGAAAATGGGCTAAACAAATATGTCAATTGAATAATTAATATATTTTTATAACGATATATCACCTGTGCATTAGTCTTAACTCCGATGTCGACAAAGTTGGCACCGGGGCTATTTGCATTCTTACTGATTGCTTGTGAACTGTCGATAATTTTCGGCTTTCTCAGATTTGTTCAATTCGTCGCGATAATTTCAAATTTCTAGTTGTAATGTTTGGTACATCATAGTTTGTTCGATTTCTTCAGGGAAACAGTCTTTCTTGATGTAATATATCTGGATATGTTGATTGGTAAGTATACCATTATTTGGGAGAAATTCGATTGATAACTCAAATGTTTGGTAAAAGATGCTATTCTTCTTCTTCTGGAAGACGGCTAGTGCAATTGCTTTGATACGTTATGTGTAAGCAATCATCTTCAAGTTTCTAATGTTAGTGAAGAGTTTGTTCATTTGGGGTATAAATACTATTTTCAACATCTTCTTGATAAAGACTAGCCGGCTTCCTTTCATATTCTACCTTGGGTGGACGATTTTTAGATTTGTATATTTCACGACAATTGCTTACATTTTGTTAATTCTTGTGAATGTTTGTCATACATAATGTAAATAATGCGACTTCTCAGAAATAATCAGCCCAATGATTTGATATAAGTTGGTATATTGTGTGGCCCATGGTGTTCATTCCGTGACGATAATTTCAATTCTCTAATTTGAATGAATATTTTTGTCGTTTGAGGTAAAAAAAAATGTAATTCAAACAGGACAATTTCTCAGCAAATATTGTACTCATTACCATGGCGATGTCACATATGAGTCACTACGTTCAATTGCTATTTTAATTTTTTTTACATGAATGTTTTTCACATGTACTTACTTGTATTCGCTCTGTTGCATAATATCTAGAGATTTGTATCAGATTGGTTTCACAGCATACTTATGCAACAGCGGAGCTATATCCGATGACAGCCTGCTCCATCGTACTTAGCGATTTACTTGTAAGCACATATAATAGGATTGGTCAACGGTGTGTTTAGCGAGGAATACCATACAAACGTGTTTATCTGTCATTATGTTAAAAACAGTACAAATTTACGATATATATTTATTTAGACGATTCTGAACCAGGGTCGGATCTAGGATTCTGGAATAGGGAGGCCGACCAAGACCAAGTTCGCGAGCGCCGATGGCGCGAAGCTCTGTTGGTTGTTAAAAATAGCGGGGCCGCGGCCCCTTCGGCCCCCATCTAAATCCGCCAATATGAACAGTATATGTAAATAACATGACTATCTGCTCAAATCATGCACAACGTAACTAAATCGCTGCTGAATGAAACCAAAACGTATAATAATGATTGTGACCATTTCGATGATAACCGTTACGAACGCATCGGGAAACAATAATATTTGGACTGAGCAATGTGAGTGTATATGCACACTATACGCTTCATTTGTGACAATCTTCAGGGGTTCGATCGTAACCATGGTTTAGCTACGCGCTGTACTGTATTGCACACGATGACTCATACACTGCGCAATTTCTCTGTCAGTGATTAATATTCCATTCGTGAGTTGCTGCTCATGATTCAGGTAGCACTGTCACCATGAATTCTTTCCGATTGTAACACAGATTGGAGCGTCTTGTTCCATTGTGAGATTAGAAACAGCGTCATTCAGATTCCACTCCGCCTTTGCTTTGATATCTCTCTAGTTTGACACTAACATGTTAAATAAGTTCCCTATTTACTCTCACACAATAAATAACACGCCACCGAACACAACATTTCGCAGTTAAAGACCTGCGTGAGTCCACTATGACAGATTATGATATATGCAAAATTTTAAAACAACTTGTCGGGATATACTTAATTCAGTCTACACCCATGCGATTAAACAATTAAATAATTGCACGCGAGTAGAACTGAGACTCTCCGAATGAAACGTGGAATTAACGTATAACAATAAATCAGGTTGATGTTGGTTTCCTTCGATCTCGGAATGACGGTTTATGACATTTAATATTTACCTAAGTTAATCGTGACAAACTGATGTTGATGATTTAACAGCTATAATGTCAACACAGCAATGTTGACATGTAGTATTTGTGGTCGCTACTGACAAAGTCTCTTCCGGTATACGAGTTTTTCAGAATCCTAAATTCCTATATATTAACCGTAAACACATGCATACTGTACCGAGATTATGTGGTCCATAATTTTATATACTGGTTCATCCCTGTCTTCGATGACCATGCACAGAGTTTGGGGCATCTCCGCATCTAACGAATGAAGATTTGACGTCAATAAGAAAGTTTGAAAAGCGTTCACCGATGTACAGTTTGCAGAAATGAAACCAATACGCCACTGAGTTATTGTTGCGACTGTAGTTAGCGTCAATCAAATCCCCTATAGTCCGAAGTCGTCGTCCTACTTGTTCTGTACACGACAACGTAGGCCCGTGTCGCCTGTACAATGCATCTGCGTTCATCGTGCTCAGATACTATCGTAGGGATTTCACCCGAATATGTGTTTTCATCTTCGTGCGACGCTGAATGAGTTAGCTCCAGCTACGCGTGTCCATTGACGCAATGCCAGAAACGTTGCAATACGTAAAGTTGCGTGTAGCGGTACAGTGATTGTCGGCATTCCGAGTGTAAACATGCCTCTAAATGCACTGCTAAGCTCGCCGGTCTGCTTTTAGTCGATCGTTTGATCAGTTTCATTTAATTTATTGCTTAGTATTCCTTTGTCGTTCGACAATTAAACAATGTGTAATCACACTGAATAATAGATATTGTTGTCATCATAAGCGGTTCACCTCATACGCATGGCAGCCTGTTAGGGCGTACGGTGGGTGGGGCAACACACATTTCAAAGAGTGCCGCCAGCTAGTGTGCGTGTAACATACTTCAAGTCAAGATAGTAACTGCATAAGAATCATCAATTTTAGTTCTGGCTCCTTTATTAAATGCATAAAACAATTACAAACAGCGCAATATTTGATAATAACTCCATTAATTCTATCCGAAGTACCATCGTTAATAGCAGATTAAGGTATATACGAGGTTGGTGCGATATACTACGTTACTGAAATACAAAACTCTTGCATTTATTTATATAAACATGCTTATGACATGGAAATTACAACATGATGGTCAGAAGGGCGGAATTGCAGTTACCGATAGTGGCGCTTTGTCGGCAAGTGCAAAGATGCAACGGATTTGGAGATGATCCCCACCGGGAACAGCGGGGACTATCAATGCTAATTAGCCAGAACGCTGAACTTTTAGATTTAGTGTGATATACTAATCAAAACACTAATTGCAATAATCAAAATAAAAAAGCTTTATTGCCGACGGTATGATTGATCGTTCAATGCACTTCCTACTTTTATTGGTGATCGTAGGAGCTTACAGCTTGACAGAGCGTACCGTGTGGTTGATGACAGTTATGAACAAAACAAAGCTATAATGCCGATTTTTAATAACTTCTCATTCATGGTTTATTCCGCAAATAATACTCGTCGCAGCTGCTCGACGTTATGGTGCAACAGACATTGCCTGTGGGCAACATTAACGATGACCTCTAACGAAAACTAACACCACATCCGTTGGATCCCCAGAAAGCGACAAAGACCACAGCAAAAAGTTTCAATAGGGGATTAAATTAAACTGATGAGATTTCTATCAAAAAAATATGTTACACGTTTTTTTCATTCAGTAAAGACGTTGCTACTTATATATATAATGCGCTAAGTGGTCAATGTATGACCAAATGCATAATAATTTCACTTAATATTGTCTTCTTTGACTTATATCAGCGATTTAAATGGTGTCGATTACTTCCACAATAATGCCGAATTATGTTCTTTGCTCTGTGTGCGGTGTTGAATAAAGCAAAGACGGTTCGTTTGAAGAGCTGTGTACTTCTAGTGAAAACAAACGCAGATGTCTCTTTTGTTGTTGGATTTCAGTTTATAACTACGGTAGAGACAGGGAACAAATTGTAGTTACTCGTACGTGACATTATCGTAACTATGTAAACACTCAGACAAACTTGCCCTTCGGAGCATTATACAAACACCCGTGAACATGTTTGTATGAACTTTTACCTGTCGGTATTCACGCAAATGCCTTTATGAGTCATCATCTGGTTACTATAGAAACCAACCGTCAAACATCGTTACTGTGGGGTTTTTTATGTAAATTTGTAGTATCGATTGTCTGAACTATATAAAATGATATATGAAGCTAGTGCTTCCTATAAACCTTTATGTTTTTGAACATAAAATTGTAAATGTTTCAAATAAAAGTGTTGAATTTATATATCGATATAGCCAGGTAAGCTATCCAGACTCGAACTCGATCCCGGTCTCTTCGGTTGCACACCGCTGGACCTCTTCGGAAAATACTCGGATGTAATCGGTCTTTGGTGGGCATTCCTATATCGATCTTTACTGCCTCGATCAGATACTGTTTGAACAAGAATGAATTAAAATATAAGGAATGGATCATGAGTAATAACAAAATAGAGTTTTAGTTCAGCCTGCCCAGAACAACGAATGTATATAGTTCAATGCCTTACTTATCCATAAAATTTTACCGGCAATATGGTGCATCCACGACCGGAAAAAATAAAACGAAACCAATATTGATTGCCATGTGTCATGATGGATAAATACCTAAGTGATTGACTCGTTCCTTGCTGGTCCGCGCTGGTTGCACCTGTGGCGTTTTTACAAATACGGCACTACTGTCAGCCATTATGTATTGCGCTTTCTCCTGCTGGTTACAAAATGAGAAAACAGCACAATATTATCTATAAGTTAACATGTTTTAAATTATATACAATGTATATATATCAGATATATAACTGATATTAACACATGTCACATCCCGTACAATATCCTCCGTTAATATATGTATTTTGAAAAGGAGAGCAATGTTTTGAATCGGAAATTATGCCTCGCCGCTACATTTGCTCAAACTCTGCAAGTAGGAAAGCGTCAAATTTGAAGGTCTTCCTGACGAGGAAGTGAATATTTATTTAAAGGGATAATTCCAATGGACGAGACTTGAATTCCGCGATTTGACGGTTCCGTAAGTTGTGCTCTAGACATAGCACGCCTTAATTCCATGTTGACGTTCTTCGAAACAATCAGATACATAATATCCTACATGGTAATTTATTACAGTCTATGCTATGATTGGATTGAGTTGAGTTTCAACACACAACACAACACACAATGGCTGCTATGACATTCCACATTGTGCCCTTGCAATCATATTTCTGTCTGATCTTTTCATTTTATATTTTTCATTTTATTTCCTTTTTGGTATTAAATCGAGAATATTACACAACCAAATACAAAGTTTAATACAATTTACGTTTGAAATAGCTACTTACCGTTCTCATAGGCGGAGCATTATCTGCTTTACTGGCGGGACCTGTGATTGAGAAGAGGTATCAATTAAATGAATTATACTTGGATATACGGCGGCGGTGGATCAAAACATCCCTTTACACATGGCTTGATTTATAGCTATAATCGATTGATAAGTGCCGACCAGTGTTTCAGTAGAACTTGTAGAAAATCTCCCGCTACGCATATAAACACGGCATCGAGATAGAGGAAATGGTCCTTCTCGTTTCATCTCACCGACATCACAATAGTCTCATGCTTTGTGATGTAAACAAACCCAAAGGTACGAGCCATGGAATGACTGGACAGAGTACAAAAATGTAAATCACTATTAGGCATGATATTAATAAAACCCACTAGTAGGAGTTACTGTTTAAGCAAAGCCATTGGAAGCACCCGACAGGTGCAAGAATTGCAATCACCAATAACAATTAGCTTACATGTCCCACTGCGTAACGTGTCTACAGTGCCATTAAACACCATATTGATTTGTGTAAACACACAAGGTGAGAACCTCTGTCATATCATTACGTGCATGTAGTGCAAAACATGTTCGTTTCTCCAGGTAGTTACTTTTATTAACTATTTAGTTACATTATAAATGATTAGTTCAAATTACCAACTAAAACGGATTTCTAGGCTGGTTTCTCTGCCACACCAATGCTCGGTTAAATTTTGGTATTTGTTCATCATTGGCACTCTTCCTCCAGTACGCGATTATCGGTGTGTTGTAGCCTAATAATACACACGAAGACAGAACAGAATTCAAAGTAAAATAATGATTGTGAATTAGTATTGTACCACCCGCATTATCGTGCCAGCCAATGACCCCCCAGCATGGTGTGCGCAGGCATTACTGTCATACGCAGCCGTGTAAAGCGGTACTACGCCGCAGGTACATCACATACAACACAGCTGATGAAGTGTATTTATCCTCGGGCAATATTGTACATTTATTATGACTAAGAAAACAAAGTGCGTTTATGAAGGTCACGCCCGCCACGTCAGGCATAATAGTGAACGGTCATCTGAATATGATGTATAATTTTCAACGGTAGCCCTGGCAATTATCTGCAGGTGTATTTATTTTGAACATTTGAGCTCAGAATCTTTGCGCGCACACTTTTATCACCTGCATATGGATTTGGTCGTCATTGATGACCTTGACATGTATTCACATCAGCTATTAGAGGGGAGTCGACGTACATAGCAGGGTAGCGGAAATCAATAGTAATGTCATTACATCTAACAAAGTAATTAGTTAACACAATAAAAATAACTGTTTTAATCTCCGTGCGAAATGTTGAGTGGATTCCAGCACGGAAACACACGGTCGGTTGAGGTGACCGGCCGGTTGTAATAATTTTTAGTAGTAATTTCCGGGTTATTCACTGTATATCGATGAGAACTGTATTATAAGAGCCGACATACAGCTAAAATTGGCCAATATAAGTATTCGATAGTTATATGATGTAAAGTAATAGCTCTTGTCACTAGGCGATTGCGATCAGTGCAGACAATAACCCACTGTCGAGAATATTGTCTTTGTGGTTTGCCGCATTTCTGAACTGGTTTAATAGTTTTGTCGTAATTTGCACAATAGTGAATTGGACACGAGCGCACAACATTATTACAATAATTGATTTTAAACGTTATTCTTATAACACAATTATAACCAAGAAATTTATAGATAAGCTCTCACCTTTCCATTTTTCTCTTGCGATTTGATTTATAACAACACGCAATTATCAGTATGATAGTCAATACAAATATCACGGCACTGAGTGCCAATATAGCAATGCCATAGGTCGTTTGCCAAAACGGAGCTGAGTCGGGCTCTGGGAAGTGAGGCTGTACGCTGATCACACTGTAATTGCTATAGGTCGGTGTCTGTAACACTGCGGCGGGAGTACCACTACTATCGAGACGTAACACCGACAACAGTTGGTCTGCGCTCAGAAACTCTTTATCTTCAGATATACCGCTAATATCATCCGCTAACTTGTGGTATACACCGTAAATTGAAACAATAAGAGTATCCCTTTGAAAAAATAGCGAATCAAATGAAAATAATATCCAAGAAAATAGACGCACTTTTGTTTATCCAACTACACTATAGTTACACAATGAACACGATATTCTCACTGCTAGTTTATTCTTTCAATGCCCACGACTGGAAGGTATTTCATATTATTAAATCCAATTAATATTTCTGATTCTGCACGGAACTTGGCTATTTAGCAAGACTGGTTTTGCTTAAGTCAAAAGTTCTAACTCATGGCTTGTGTTGCAATTTTAGTGTTTAGAGAACTGTAAAATACTCTATTTTCGCTGAAGGAATGATTCAGTTAAAATAAAATCCAGAGAATATACCCTTTTCTACATTCAACTCGTCAAAAATCAGTGAAAATATATTCCATACAAAACATCCAAAAAGTCTTTTCAGGGAATATTAATTTCAGCTAAAATAAAGTATTTTACAGTAAGTGTGATTAAGGATCATGCAAAATAAATAAATAAATAAATAAATAAATAAATAAATAAATAAATAAATAAATAAATAAATAAATAAATAAATAAATAAATAAATAAATAAATAAATAAATAAATAAATAAATAAATAAATAAATAAATAAATAAATAAATAAATAAATAAATAAATAAATAAATAAATAAATAGTACGTTCAATGTATGAGTGATCACTTCTATTAATCAGTTTTATCCTGTCATTCAAGTTCGCGTAAACACATGGTCAATATACAACTCGAACAAATATAACCCAACTTCTTAATTAGAATTAAACTGTCACGATAATATTGAAGTCGGATACAACACAAATACGTTATTGTTAAGCGTGCCAGAAACGTAATATCAACAGGTGTCTCGATAATATTTCTTGTTGAGCAATCACTATGAGGGGGTCAAAAAAGCTAAAACAGAGTAGACATATCTGAAACAGTATACATTTTTATTATTATCATCCTAATTATTTCTTATAAATTTTCATATCGTGATTGACAACAATTAATTTTATATGGATATTAGTATTGTGAAATATATTTTTGTCATATTGAGATCTTGCGAGATTGAACAGCGATATGATAGTGCATTATGCATTATTGGTACTAGGTAGAGGAAATTAGAACGTACAATGGCGATGGCAGAAACGTGTTCTCAAAAAACGTCCAAGTAAATTTTTTTGAACTGTAAAGTGTTGATTTGCGAATTTCACGATTATCGCGCGTAAACGTATTATAACTACATTGAGTGACGTCGATTAGGCAGTTTGAAAAGTTTCTGACTACATCGAGCGATGTCGATTGGCAGTTTGAAAAGTTTCTG